AAAAAAGTATGGCTGTCCGCTCGAAATTAACCCACCTGATCAATTTTGACACATTATGGTGGATCAAAAGGATATCTTGTAAAATACGGATTTGCAGCTTGTCAAAGAGGGGTGTGATCCAGACTAACATGCTGGAAGCTGCTATTTTCTTTTGGCAGGGCTCTGAGGGATTGGTAGAGCACAGCAGAGACGAGTCTCGTTCGCGAAAACTTGAAGACTCACTCAATAGAGCTACTGGTTCTGATGTTAAGCCTTCTGGATCTAAGGCGGATTCTAAACGTTCTAAACAGTAAGAAATTTTTTAGCTTAACATTCTGAAATCTCACCAAGCTTGATATTCGAACTTTGTTGTAGTAAAATTTGAATTTATTCACCCTATATGTGAGTTGTGCTGAAAATCTTGTCAGAGTTGTTTGTTAGGACAATAAGCTTGAGATGTTTATACACGAATGTGCAGGCACAATGCTCATCGGTCGAGGGTAAGGAAACTTCAATACATATCTCATTTGGAAAGGACTCTTCAAATTTTGAAGGTAAAGCATCTTGCATAAAGGCCAAAAAGAAAAGTTATAGAAAAAAGGATAATGCATAATCTACACCAGTTTTGAGTAGTTACAAAAAGGTCCAGAGATCTTGAAAATAATTTCAAACATGCACCTCGCATTTCTTGAGAAATTAGAACTAACTTTGTAATTTCTGAACTTTTTTGGGTGTCTTATGTAAATATTACAAACCTCAGGGTATCTCTGTATACCAGTCCACCTAAAAAAAACAGTTTGCAACAGTTGGAACTTAAAACTTGCCAAATTTATTGATGTTCCCCTTTTAACAGGCAGAAGGATCACAATTCTCTGCCGAGCTTGAATTCCTTGAGCAGCAAAATATGCTACTGACGATGGAAAATCGAGCCCTTAGGCAGCGCCTAGAGAGCATTTCGCATGAGCAGCTTATCAAACAATGTAACCATATATCTATTGCTTTCCTCATTTTGCTGCTTTTATTTGTTCCAATGCCATATTGGATACTCTCATCATCTGAACATTAAATGAAAGTAAATTACATTCAAATCTTTGATCTTTCAAAATTGTTTGCAGGGGAACAAGGCATGCTAGAGAGAGAAATGGGGAGGCTGCAAACTCTTTACCACATGCAAAAGCAACAGCAGATGGAAGTTCAAAATCCACTGCACCACAAACAACGTCGTAATAGAAGTAAAGAAAACCTCGATTATCAAATGTACAATGGCCCTGTCAAGAATAAGGATGACATGGCGAGTCCCAGCAGAGGTTCGGTTTAATGGTCATTTTCGGGCTTTTAAGTTAAAAATCCCAAGTGCTAACAAATGCACCAACACAAACCCGACCAAATTCTCTTTGCCTTTTTTTTCCTCCCTCCACTNTTTTTTTTTTTTTCCTTGTGTGTGTGTGTGTTTTCCCTTTTAGTATTTCTGAATTTTGAATGATCTTAGATAATTAGAAGAAAAAGCACCATTGAGGCTTGGTCTGATTAGTAGTAATTGCCACAGAAACCCAGCTAGCTCTGGAAAATTGTAGTATTGCCCCTGAGATTTTATTTTGTATTATATTGACCCCTTTGTAAGCAATGAACATTTTGGAACCCCACTTCACATTTGTAGAAATAGTATATATAGCTCCTTAATTTGAATAAAACTTCTTTTGGTAGCTTAAAATCTTCCATGTTGCAATGCAGCAATGGTGAATTCATGTAGTCAATTCTGTTTTCTATTTTTTTTTTCCCCAGTTTCTTCCCTTAATTGTTATAAATATAATTCCTTACTATTTTATATAATTTAATAAATTTTCTAATTTGCTCAAACACACTGGTATTCAGAGGCAAAATTCTTATGTTTTTTTTTTAAACATAGATGCAAACCACAATTCCACAAGGCTCGACTTTTGTTCAGCCACAGTCTGCATTATCAAAGGAAATACTTCATTCATTCAGCTTCTTAAAAACTTGGTGGGATTTAAAGAATTCTTAAAATAAAATTATGTTTAAGTTGCAGTAAATGTAAATGTCGTAAATTGTTTTGCAAATTCCATTATTATTATTATTATTATTATTTGTGATAAGTTTGATCTCCAAAGTTCCTTTAATAATAACAATAATAATTGAAGCGTGTTAGTCCATGTTACATCAACATTGCAATAATTCAACAAAGACTCGTGATCCGGAACAAGAAAACTTTACACTAACCAAACGTAAATATGTTCCTGTCCAAGTAGCCATCGTATTTAATTTTATGGAAAAATGAAATAATTTTTCAACTTATTCACATATTATTATTTATTTGACCGACAGATAAAGCATTTTTCAACCTTATGTCATATAAATCTTATATAATATAGATAATTAGAAGAAAAAGCATCTATGTTCAGGCAATTGTACAAAATAAACCCATGTGTGTAACAACTCTATTTGATTCCTTATTAACCTACTAATTAATCACTTTATCTATGCCTAAATTGTCCAATAATACATTAATATGAAACATTCCACTCTGCCGGACATTTAATTCGGAATCGTTAGATTACATTTACATACATATAATCGCGCGTGTATTTATGATCGATCTAATGGCTCAGACATTGACCACATATCGAATTTTGAATTGTCGAATTTTATTGATCTTACGGTTGAGACTCGAGTATGGCTAGTGTTAATAGATGGCTAATTGATCCTACATAGTGTCCGTGTGTAATTTTAGCCGTTAGATCACATATAGTTAGGGGCATTTTTTTTTTTTTTAATCTGACGGCTAAAATTCTGAGATATCCAAATAGATTGATACAAGGTGTGAGTTGAAATTGGGGAAAGTGGAGCCCACAGCATAAAGCCCAACCGACCTGTTAAAGTGTGTACCAACTTACCGAATCCAACCCCATCCATTAACTAATTTGTCTTTCTTACCAACTTATCAATTTACACCCCCAACTGTCCGGCCCAAAACCATATTTTTTTTTCCTATTTTCATAAAATAAATTTTTTTAATGTAATTTTATTTTAATATTTTATTAATAATAAAAACAATATTTTCTTATAATTATAGAAAATAAATATGTCAATACACATAATCGCCAATGCATGAAGTTAAACGCCTCTTTCTCCTCTGGAAAGATGTGCTTTACCACTTTAATTAATTATAACCGATTCACAATTTTTCAAATTTAAGTGCTATTAAATTAATTAATTTATTTATTTCTAAAACTAACAATTCATATCATATTCTATTTGATAGGTGAAGGGAAGTATTCAATTCTTCCCTTTCATCCTTAAATTGTGCATTGACAAATAAAAAATTTGAATATGAGTATTGAGTAGCCACTGTTTTCCTTATATTGAGTGATCATATATGTTTTGACAGATATATGATTGTTAGATCGATTCATAGGTAAACAATCAAATTAATAGATTTATACACTTTCTAAAAAAAAGTGTAAATCAAGTATTTCATAATATAAATATATATATATTTTAAAAATATATAGAGTGGTGTATTGAACTATTATATAATTAGAGTTAGTCTACACTACCAGATTGATTTACAAATTGATTACAAAAAATATACATGTCAAACATCTATTGTTATATCGTTACAAAATTAGGAAAAAATAAAAAATTAAGTGTATTTCATTAGGATTTTTAAGGACTTTTTAAGACTTTAGAAATCCTGGTGTATTCAATTTAGATTTGTTAAGACTTTTTAAAACTTTTAAAAATCCTGGGGTATTCAATTGGGATTTTCAAAAGTCTTACAAAATCCTGAGGTATTTATTTTTTTTGACACTAGGATTTATTAAGACTTTTTAAGATTTTGTGGGATTTCTAAACAAAAAACCTTATATGAAATCTCACTTCAAATCCTACCTCCGGACTTGAGATTTCATAGAATTCTTCCAAAATCTGAAAATCCTAGAAAGTCTCAAATCTCGAAAAGTCTTAAAATGTCACTTAAATTCCGAATTGAATACACCCCCCAAGATTTCGTCAACACATAATTCTGTAAACAAAATCTTTACATTTAACATATGTCTATTATGAGTTATTCTAATTCATAATATACTTTATTTTCCAAACAAATAAAAAAAATGTCAATAATACAAAATTTATATCTATATCTATATCTATATCTATATAAAGAGTCATCCTAAAAAGTAAAAGGACAATTAAATACATTTTATTTCCATCAATTTTTTTCAATTGTGTTATTATTTTATTGTTAAAAAACCGGTTTGCATTAATTCATCCTTAATTGGTGTGTTTTGCAATAAAATCGGACATATAAACTTCAAGTAGAAACATGTCTCATTTAAAATTTAAATTTAAATATTAAAATTTTCTATCATTTTGTTACAATTAAATCCCGAATGAATTGTTTGCCACAAAATCGGACAAAATAATAATTGCATAGAATTCAAGTAGAAACATGTCTCATTTAAAATTTAAATTTTAAAATTCCTTATCATTTTGTTACATTTCCGAATGATTTGTTTCCCATAACATCGGACGGAATTAATAATTGCATAGAATTCAATTACGATTTCGAATTTATATGAAGGATGTTTAATAATTGAATAGAATTTCAAAGATGTTTATTTATTATAAAAAAATTAAATTCTAAAAAAACATTTGTGTATATATTGTAAAATGTTTGTACAAAATGTTTTACTTTAAATTTATTTACATAATTTAAATTAATTACATTAATAGATAATATGAACATACATTAAATATTTTAATTACATAAAACAAAAAGAAGAAGTAGACTACATCTATAACTTGTATAAATAATAATGGCATTATATTACAATAAATTTTATAATAAAATAATATGAGTATTATACGAGAAACAAGATTACGTAAAATTATTATTTTTCTTATATCAAGGAATAAATATATATATAATGAAATTAAATTTATATTATTATAAAGAGAGATAATATATTAATTAATTTACGGGCTATCTCTATCAGACCAAGTTTAATGTTCCGACAAAAAAAATGACGTTGATGAAAAAATGTAAAAAGATAAATGATCAAACTTTATTATTTTTTAGGCATGAACAGACAAGCTAGGTCCACTCATTTAATATTTTCCGAGAATCGCACGAGCTACTTAACGGACAAGCTATGTGAAAATGACTTATTTAATATTGTACATGGCATTGACTACGTACTAATTATTTAAAAATAATAATACTAGTCCACCTCTTAATAATAAATTTTTTCTACTTTCTTCCAAGTCTCACCATCCCCATTATAGACCCCACCCTACCCCCTAAAAAGCCCATAATATATATCTCAACAATCTTCCCAATTTGTTCTCGAAAAGTACTCCAAAACCCCCCACTTTTCCTCCATATTCTCAATCTCAATCACAAGTCTATCTATCTCATTCACTCCAAATAATAAAAATAATAATAATAATAAAAAAAAAAACCCCAAAATCCAATTCACAAAGTCGCTAGTGTCTGAAACAACGCTTTTAGGCTATGGGGCGATCGCCTTGCTGCGAGAAAGCGCATACCAATAAAGGCGCTTGGACTAAAGAGGAAGACCAACGCCTCATCAATTACATCCGTGCCCACGGAGAAGGCTGCTGGCGTTCCCTCCCCAAAGCCGCAGGTACAATTACTTTATGCATGCCCAATAATCAGGACCAAAAATAATACTATTAATTTGTACTTTTTTTCTTTTTTTTTTTGTTTTTTTTTATGGAGTTAATTAATTTATTATTTATTTTATGTGATTTTAGGATTGCTTAGATGTGGGAAAAGCTGCAGGCTGAGGTGGATAAATTATCTGAGGCCTGACCTCAAAAGGGGCAATTTTACTGAAGATGAAGATGAGATTATTATCAAACTCCATAGCCTTCTTGGGAATAAGTTTGTCTACTCTGCCCTTGATTATTAATTTTCTTGTCCAATTTGATTTTTATTGTTATTATTTTGAAATTTTATAATTTTTTTTTTTTTTTNTTTTTTTTAATTATTCTAGCACTTCATTTGTAATAAACAAATTAATTAATTGATTTTTATTTTATTTTATTTTATTTTTTGTTAGATGGTCCTTGATAGCTGGGAGGCTGCCGGGAAGAACCGATAATGAGATCAAGAACTACTGGAACACGCACATCAAACGCAAACTTATCGGCCGTGGCATAGACCCAAAGACCCATCGCCACCTCCAATCCGGTGCCGCCACCTGTCTCGACTTCAGGCGCTCGACCGAAAAAGAAAACAGCTCTGCCTCAGCCGACACGGCCAAATGCAGCAGCAGCACAACTGAAGAGTTCCAGCCACCCGAAGATTCGGGCTCGGCCCATGGGCTTGACTTGGAGCTGTCTATTGGGCTTAATCCTTCTCGGCCCAAGTGCGTGAAAAGTGCTTCTTTTGACCCATCGTCATTTTGGGCCCAGCCCGAGTTGAAGCCCGCGGTTGAGGTGGAGGCGCCACCTCACCGGATGTGTTTGTGTTGGCAGTTGGGTTTTCAGAAGGGTCAGCTGTGTAGCAATTGCCAGTGTTACAATGGGTTATATAGCTTTTGTTAACAATATATATATACACGTCATATGTGATAATTGCTGTACAATTCTTTTGGTTTTAGAGATATCAAGCATGATCATTTTATTATTATTGTTATTATTATTATTTTTTTTTGGCTATTTGGAAGTGAACCGAGATTTTGTTGCTCGCCAGACTATCTTCTCTGTGTGACATTTTTTGTTTATCACAAATGCTACGTTAGGCTAACTTTAGGCATTGGCATTAAAAAAAATAAATTAAAAAATTAAGCATACTTATCATATTTTTCTTTATATTGTATTTTAAAATATAACATTTGAGTATATTTATATTGAAAGAATATAACAATTCAACTATTAGAACAAGAAATTGTAGTGATTTTATTGTAACAAGAAATTACAATAACATAAGAAAGTGCATGGCCATGTAATTATTTCGCATCATATACATGTAGCTATTCAAGAGGTTTAAATTTAATTATAAGAATAAAGATTCAAGAGGTTTAAATTTAATTATAAGAATAAACGATATCAAATAATGTACAAAAACTATGAGAAAACTCGAGTTATAATTTCTCACAAATTTCAAATTCTAATGCACAAAATAATTGATGCATGGCATATATAAGATATGTAAACTAGCCGACCTCAAACTATCAACTCATAAATACTCAAACTCGAGCTTGACTTATTTATCAAAATAAGTTCAAATCTTGAATTTAATTAAAGTAAAAATTTAAAAAATTATGTAAAAATTATTATTCAATTTATTCTCGTGTCTTAATCATTTTGTCCCGAAATTGGGATGAAGTGTTCTTTGTGTACGGTTCTGGTTGTTCTTTTTTTTTTTTAGTGCACTGTAAAAAAATTGTTATATTCCAACAGTAATATATTCCAATGGAAATTCCAACGGATATTCTAATGGTATAGCTTCCGTTGAAATTATTTCAATGGAATTTACAACGGAAATATTCCGTTGGAATGTATTTTTCATTGGAATTTTAAATGAAATTTGATGATTACAACGGCTATATTTCTAACGGCTTTTGATCGTAGGAATTTCCGTTGGAATTTTTATTTCCACCACCGTTGGAAAATCTACCGTTAAATCGTCAAAATCCAACGAAATTTCCAATGGAAAACTCATTCCAACGGAATATTTTTGTTGGAAATAATAGCATTGAAATATCCGTTGGAATTCTATTAGAATATATTTCCGTTGAAATTTCATTATTTTCTTGTAGTGGTGCTAATCACATGCGCTTATGTTTACTGTCGGCTTAGTTTTAAATTTAAATATCCATTATGGCTAATCTTGATGCAAGAAATACAAATAATCAAATGAATTGGAGTATATAATAATCTGCCATTATTTATTACAAAAGAAAAAGTCAATGCAGGTTTATATATATAATCAAAAGATAATTAATGAAAGCTGCTTTCATATTTGGTGTCACACGATTAAGTACTGTGGACTTTGGAGTTGTCTTTTATTATTTGATTGCGGACTTGTAAAGTTACTTTTTCTGTTATTATTAATGTTTTGTTTAAGTAATTGACATCTGATTAGGTGCAGATAAGATAATGTTTTCAGTTGAATTCCGTGAGCATTACAATCACGCATGTTCCAATTTCTTGACAAAAATAATCACATGCTCTAATTACAAGCGCATTATTAAATAATTAAATTTTAACATTTGAATTCCATTCCTGACAGCTGAAGAATTTTCTTATGTTTTGTTTCTTTTAAAAGCTTACAAACTAGTGAAAATAATAGAATATTAGTCCGTTCTATGTTAAGAACGATTATAAGAAATCTATATATATATAAAGAGGTTGTTGGAAAAATACATTAATAGAAAGTTTGACTTAATAAATAAAACAATTGACTTACTATAAATGGAAAGTTCGAAAAAATACATGTGAATCTTTAGTAACAAAATCTGAATCCTATTTTTTTGGTAACTAATTTGAAGATTCTTATGGCAAATTTTGAATCCCATTTTTTTCGCATCATATTTTGTTTTTTTTTTACCAAAATTTAAATCATATATTTTGGTAACAAATTTGGAGATTTTTATGCAAAAAATGTGTCAATTATTTATAAAAACAATTCTAAATACAAATTAATTTAAAAACCGTACAAATTGGATACGAATTTAGGAAACAAATAGTTGTATAATTCTTAATCAATTCTTCCAATCTTATTGAATAATTTTTTCTTTTAAAAAAAAGGTGTGTAAATTGGATAAAACCACGTGCAATTTTTATTTTAGAATAAAACTTATATTTGGACGGGATGTACATTCGAAATTGTGTCCATATTTTTGGTAACAAAAGTGATTCATCTTTGATATTTAAAGTCACCTTATCCAATTTATTAGGAAAAATTGTGTGCAACTATTCAAATTTAAATGCATCAATTTTTTTAGATTCTTATGTTTTTTCTTAACCATATTTTACCGAAATTTTGGTAAGTTCATATCATTTTTTTTTAAGTTCATATCATTTTCTTTAGGAAAGAGACAGTTGCATAAACATTAACAAATTGTTTCAATTTTTTATTAAAATTATTTTCAATTCAATTTGTTTGGTAAAAAAATTGGTGCAGTGTTAGAAAAATTCGGTTGCATTTTTAGGAAAAATTGATGATATTTTATTTGGTTTAAAAAAATATTCGGATCAATTTGTTTGATAAAAAATCAGTTTATTGGTAGGAAAATCGGCTTCATTTTCTGGAGTAAATAATGATTCCTTTTAATATATATAAAAAGGTTCTTGGAAAAATACTTAAATAGAATGTTTGACTTATTAATTAATTTGTTTGACTTACTAATTTAGGAAAATTTGTTAAAAAGCACGTGCATTTTGAGTAAAAAAAATGAGATTTTAAAAGCAATATTCGAATCAATTTCTTAACAAAAAAACCGGGAGGATGATGTTGAATTGTGGATGAGGATAATGTCAATTGATTCTTTCCGAATTGAAAGGTCACATGTGAAATATATACACCAAGGATATCTAATTTATTAGTTACTTAGGGAGCATGATTGTAGGAGATCAAAATATATCAATGTAAATATAATATCAAGCCATATAAAACAAGTTTCGTTATAAGTAATTTAAACATTCTTGGTAAGTTTTAAATTATTATATATAATAAATCCTTTGTTTTTTTATATATTAATAAATACTACCTCTTTTTTTTTTTAAATGTCATTTTGACTTTATTAACAATTAACCAAATAAATGACATTTTGGATCTTTTGTACATATTTTTTCATTATTACCCCAATCTAGCTAATAAATACACTACATCTTTTCATATTCATTCTTCATCTTTTATCAAAACATCCATCTCTATTCTCATTAATTAGGGTTATTATTTACAAAAAAAAAAAATCTTAATTACTGTGCAACTTTTCAAAACGATACTTATTAAAAAAATGAGGGAGTACTATATATGTACTTATATATCTATATATCTATCTATATCTATATCTATATCTATATCTATATATATATTGAAATAGGTTGATTAAAAAATCATTTATAGAAACTTGATAAAAAATTTGAGTCAAAACCTTTGACATAGTTCTTTTGGAAATTCAATCTAACACTATAAAATAACAATAGGGATTTACTTTAAGTTGAAAAAAAGTTCTCGCCTAAAATTTTAGATTTTACTACAATTGATAACTTTTTTTTAAATTCTTTGAAAATTTGGGAGTTGATTTGTAATTTGAATTATAGCGCCGACGTTGGATGTGGCCGAGTCTATCAATAAGTACATGACATCATTGAATTTGTTGGATGGTCGTATGTACTTGAGTTATGACAGTACATGCAATCGGATTCTAATAATGATTTTTTGTCTGATCTCCATATGCCTGAGTTTTTTAATTGTATCAAGTGTTCCAGAATACCGAACCATGAGTTGTGTTTGAAAATTGGAACTCCGGTCATGTTATTGCGGAACATGGATCATTCTATGGGTTTGTGTAATGGGACACGATTGGTTGTGACAAAGCTATCCAGTCATGTTCTTGAGTGTAAGATAATTACAGGAGATCATGCTGGTGATAAGGTGTTGATTCCAAAAATGGTCATAACTTCTTATGATGTTAGAATTCCTTTCAAGTTCCAACAGCGGCAGTTTCCCATTATGGTTTCTTGCGTCATGACTATAAACAAGAGCTAGGGAAAATCCTTATCTCATGTTTGCTTATTTCTTAATAAACCAGTGTTCAGTCATGACCAGTTATATGTTGTTGTCTCACATGTCACTAACCGAAAATGTTTAAAAATCTTAATTTGTGGTGAAGATGACATGCCAAAGAATCAAACCAATAATGTTGTATATAGGGAAGTGTTCAATAATATATAATCTTTTCAGTTTAATTATATGTTTATATGTCTATTCTTATGATCATGATCATTGCATTATTACATAATTTATATACAAAAGTGCATTCTAAAAAGCGTATAGATAATAATTTCCCCGTGCATCGCACGGGTGATTACTAGTTGGAATAATAACTACATAGCATTGTATATAAAAAATGAAATTGGACTAATATCTAATAAATATACTGATTCCTTCTGCAATTAGAATGGACAAAATAATAATTTTTTTGCCTTTGGTAATAAATAGAGTGATTCTAAGCTGTTTTATGGCCAGTTTGATTCGTATTACTATAGAATGTCGAAGTTGTGTATATAATTTGCCACATAAAAAATTTTTGGCAGTATTTGAAAGTTTAATATCTCCTTTTATTTTTTACAATTAGTCAAATTAATTGTAAATTAAAGACATAGACACCTAAACAATAAAACATGATTTATAAATTTGTGAAACATAAAATCCAATCAGATATGGAATATGGAGATTATAATTTTTTTAAACAAAATGGATAAGTATTCCACCTAAGTAAATGATACATTGCATACCGAATAAACAACAATAAAAATTGGAGTGAGATTTCCTGCTAATTCCAATTTTATACTTTATTTTGTATGTCATTTCA